TACATAGTTCTCGAACCCGTAGGGTCCGCACGCTTAACGTTACGATGACAGTTTTATTATGAGTTTATAAGTTTTGATGTACCGAAGGTTGTTCGGAGTCCCAGATGTGATCACGGACATGACGAGGAGTCTCGAAATGATCGAGACATAAAGATTGATATATTGAATGACTATATTCGGATACGGGAAGTGTTCCGGGTGTTTTCGGAGAAAAACCAAAGTACCGGAGGGTTACCGAAACCGCCCCCCCGGGAAGTAATGGGCCTTGATGGGCCCTATTGGAGAAAGAGAGGGGCCGACCAGGGCAAGTGGCGCGCCCCCTCCCCTTGAGTCCGAATAGGACAAGGAAAGGGGGGGCGGCGCCCCCCTTGCCTTCCCCCTCTCCCACTCCTTCCTTCCCCCTCCTTCTTGGAATAGGAAAGGGAGGGGGGAAACCTACTTGGAGTAGGTTTCCCCCTCCTAGGGCGCGCCTCCCCTTAGGCCGGCCCCCTCCTCCTCTCCCCTTTATATACGGGGGCGGGGGGCACCCCATAGACACACAAGTTGATCTACGGATCGTTCCTTAGCCGTGTGCGGTGCACCCCTCCACCATAATCCACCTCGATCATATCGTCGCGGAGTTTAGGAGAAGCCCTGCGCCGGTAGAACATCATCATCGTCACCACGCCGTCGTGCTGACGAAACTCATCCCCGACGCTTCGCTGGATTGGAGCCCGGCGGACGTCATCGAGCTGAATGTGTGCTGAACACGGAGGTGCCGTACGTTCGGTGCTTGGATCGGTCGATTCATGAAGACGTACGACTACATCAACCGTGTTGTCATAATGCTTCCGCTTACGGTCTACGAGGGTACGTGGACGAACACTCTCCCCTCTCGTTGCTATGCCATCACCATGTTCTTGCGTGTGCGTAGGAATTTTTTTAAAATTACTACGTTCCCCAACAGTGGGCCCCTTTGTTGCTCCATCGACGTACTCCTTCCTCCTATATATACCTACGTATCCCCAAACGATCAGAAAAGGAGCCAAAAACCTAATTCCACCGCCGCAACCTTCTGTATCCACGAGATCCCATCTCGGGGCCTGTTCCGGAGCTCCGCCGGAGGGGGCATCCACCATGGAGGGCTTCTACATCAACACCATAGCCCCTCCGATGAAGTGTGAGTAGTTTACTTCAGACCTTCGAGTCCATAGCTAGCATGTAGATGGCTTCTTCTCTCTTTTTGGATCTCAATACAATGTTCTCCCCCTCTCTCGTGGAGATCTATTCGATGTAATCTTCTTTTTGCGGTGTGTTTGTTGAGACCGATGAATTGTGGGTTTATGATCCAACTTATCTATGGAAAATATTTGAATCTTCTCTGAATTCTTTTATGTATGATTGAGTTATCTTTGCAAGTCTCTTCGAATTATTCTTTTTGGTTTGGCCAACTAGATTGGTAGTTCTTGCAATGGGAGAAGTGCTTTTGGGTTCAATCTTGCGGTGTTCTTACCCAGTGACAGAAAGGGTTGCAAGACACGTATTGTATTGTTGCCATCGAGGATAACAAGATGGGTTTTTTATCATATTGCATGAATTTATCCCTCTACATCATGTCATCTTGCTTAAGGCGTTACTCTGTTTTTAACTTAATACTCTAGATGCATGCTGGATAGCGGTCGATGAGTGGAGTAATAGTAGTAGATGCAGAATCATTTCGATCTACTTGTCTCGGACGTGATGCCTATATACATGATCATTGCCTAGATATACTCATAACTATGCTCAATTCTGTCAATTGCTCAACAGTAATTTGTTCACCCACCGTAGAATACTTATGCTCTTGAGAGAAGCCACTAGTGAAACCTAGGGCCCCCGGGTCTATTCTCATCATATCAATCTCTATCACTTTATTTACTTGCTTTGCTTTTACTTTGCTTTTTACTTTTTACTTTGCATCTATCTATCAAAAATACCAAAAATGTTATTTATCATCTCTATCAGATCTCACTCTCGTAAGTGACCGTGAAGGGATTGACAACCCCTAATCACGTTGGTTGCGAGTAGCTATCGTTTTTGTAGGTTCGAGGGACTTGTGCATGGTCTCCTACTAGATTGATACCTTGGTTCTCAAAAACTGAGGAAGATACTTACGCTACTTTGCTGCATCATCCTGTCCTCTTCGGGGAAATCCAACGCTGTGCTCAAGAGGTAGCATGAACCTATTTGGGCCTCGCCTTGCAGCGTGAAATGAATCACTCACGCATCTGGAGCCCATTCAGTTATCAAATGAATAAGATGAGTTTCGATAGAACTTACATCAAAATGGCAGGTTTTCTGTCAAGTCTTGTCAAGTCCTTGTACGATGTGATTTCCATATAGCAATGTTCCAATTAATAACAAAAAAATGGAAGCTCAAAATTACCTCTAGTTTCTAAACAGGGGTGTGATCTTAACTGGAGATAACCTGGCAAGCTGCAATCGACAAGGTAGCAAGACATATGTCTTATGTCAATATGACGAGTGTATTAAACACCTATTTCAAGTAGTCTCAAATCTTTACACCCCCCCTCCCTCCAGCACATACACGTAGTGCACGTTGGTTGCAGAGTATTGACAAACTATTATTTTCTGCACATATTCTTGCGGGGGCGGCAACCTTATGTTGGGCTTTGTGGCTTATAAGCAATGATGTGATTTTTTAACAATAAATATGTTTCATCTCATGTGTAGGTTATTCATGCATGTCCGCCATGGCTCCGTAATTGATCTATCCTGTAAAGACCGGAGGATAGAGACCTTTTGATGATGGTGTCTTTTCGGCTAGAGCATACGGCCAGCGAGATTTTCTGGTTTAATATATCGGTACACAACAAACACCATCATATTTGCAGCATATGAAAAGACAATGTTTCAATGTTCGCAAAAAGTTAGAACTTTTCGTGCTAATTAATCTTCATTGTTAACCTGTCGCAGTCGTGTGGGTGACGATGTCCCCAGAGGGCTAAGCTATACAAAGATCTGATCTCCTTATTTCTTATTTAGATATATTTTGTTAGGGATGTACAACGCTGAAGTTGACTGAAATAAAGATTAAACTACAATGTCTAATATCGTTTGGAGGAAATTTTTGTAATAAATCTCTATGACATGACTTCGCCGGAGGCAGGGGCATGATGCACGTGCAACTGCCGCAGGAGGAAAGTGTTGCATAAAGAAGATGACTGGGAGGAGGAAAATGGCGTAGGTTGAAGATGCATTTTTTTTTTGAAAAGAAGGTTGAAACCTCAAGCCTCTGCATAAATGATTTACATTCTATTATACTATTTACAAAGTCTGACAAAATGAAATAACTCAAAGCCATCCTTTTAGGGATGTGTCCTAGCTTTGTACCAGCAAGCATCATCTAATTCAGTGGCCTTACCAAGCCGCCTAATGATGAGTCAAGAGCACCAACAGGTCTACCAGACACTCAACGCGCATTGCATGTGCATTCTAGAATTCATCACTGCTATGCTTCATCGTCCCATCTTCAAGAATGATCAACACATTGACCTTGCCAGACCTCTCTGGCATCGACGTTGTCATGACACTAGGCAACGTCACCATCCTGCACGCGCCCATAAACACACATCAATCATTGAGACCCCACTGTCCCACACCGCCGAGACAAACCACTGTCCAGGCGGTAGATGCAACATCACTCCACGTCTTGGCTCCTCGAGCCAACACCTACTCCAAAATGATGCCTATATTTTTTTTAAGAAGGGAATATATTAATATTATGAAGATACCAATTACACCCAATCTCTGCACCTACAAGATGTCGCAAAGACATCTTGGATGCACACAACCAAAGGAAAAAAACAAAGGTTCTGCCACCGTGATCGACTCCTCTCAGCAGCCGCACACAGACCATCACCAAATACAACACCCAGAAAACATAAAAGATCTCCAAAAGCAACACCTCCAATAAGAAAACAGTGCACACGCATCATCGTTGCCCGGCCCAAGATCTTAGGTTTTCACCTTGGAGAAGTCCGAGATCTCAAAACAATTCATTCAGCAAGGCAATTGCCAGACACAACCAATGAAGGCCGGGCCTTAAGTTTTCACCCTGAAAGTCCCGGCTCGGCACCCGAGGAGCGCCACCAAAAATGAATTCCTCCAGTGTTGCCGCCCCCACTTGACACCAAAAGCGTCGTCTTCGTCCGATCCAGGAGACCCAGATCTAGGGTTTCCCACTGAATAGTCTGAGCGAGGTAATGCTGACTGCAACGAAGATGCCTCGACAAGGAAACAACGTTAAAGCCGTCGCCATCATCTATCATGACTGAACCGACACGGTTTTTTACCGTAATCACAACAACCCGATCCCACAGCTGACTGTATCTGCACGGAGCCGCGACATGAAGTACGCAGCGGCCGAAACATCGACAGAGGGCCTCCAGCCGCCCCTTACCGCCCCCTCCACGCGCTGCCAGCCGACCAAGAGCCACGCCGGGCATCAGATACGCGGTCCACCACCGCAAACATCACCAAGCAGGGCCGCCCACCAGAGCATGCACCCCGCTGACCATGGAGGCGTCGGCCACCACCGCACAACCTAGGGCTACCGTCCTGACTACCGCGCCCAACTCGCCACCAATGTCGGCGGCAGGGACCTTCTGAGATGGA